CACGCCGCTGTGGTTGGATGCTGTGCCGCAGGTTGGATAGGGGGAGGAGGGACGCCGCTACCGTCTCCTCCGGTTGCGCTGTCCCTCTCCCCGCCGGCGTCGGTGTCGTCGTCGCCGCCGCCGCGCCCACCTTTTTCGTGAGAGGGAGGGAGGATAACGTTTGTCTTTGCTCGAGGAAGAATCCACGAGGTGGAAGAAACCTGGCTATATGGGTCGTACTTGTAAGGCCGGCCCACGGGCACGGATTTCTGGCCCGAAACACCTGGACAAACAAACAGTCCTTCTCGTGGGCCACAGTGCAAGAACTTCACGAGGTATTTGTTTTTATTTTACTATGTCCGGTTAGTACATTCATCCATGGAAAAAAACGTTTGTAAGCAGGGGCATAAGAAGGTTTCACGGAGACAAAAAGAAGAAAGACGTGAGAAACAAGTTCTCTGTGGAAGAGGGTCTTTCTTTTATTCCAAAAGTACTTTTGGTGAGATCTTGAGACCATTTTCAAGATACTGAATACTGGTGGCTGGCTGAGCTCACCGCTCGCCTGTCTGCTATCGTCTAGTGGGTAGTTGTTTTCAAAAGTCCATCTGAAAGATCGACAGTCATTGAAATTGACTGTCTCGCTCATTTTTAGTCATTGTATTTGAAGAAAAAATTATGTTCAGTAAATAAAATATACCTGTACTATACGGTTACCGGCTCGGTTCTTGTACTATTTGCTTTTGTATACAGCTTTGGTCCGCTTAGCCTCACCTGTCATTCAGCTAACTAGCACAGTAATCCGCGCATAGTGCAGGCATTGATCATACTTTCGAAAATGGGATAGTCATGATCTATGCATCATCTAGATATATAGAAGGTCTATAAATAAGGAGTATTTATTTTTCATTTTAGGAGTTAATTGAATTTACACTGGTGATAACCAAATGTACTCCACACGAACTGAATTTACACTGAATTCAGTTAACCAAATGTTAACTAAATTTACACTTAATTCAGTTAATCAAATGTTAACTGAATTTTAGAAGTAGAAGAATAGTCACAGGGGACACCAGCTGCCCCCGGTATGCTGACGGTTATACCATTGGCATGGAGAAGCCACAGGGGACACCAGCTGCCGCCACGTGGCAGCCATATGCCGACGGCATTACTATGCTGACGGGCACGGGAGGTCAGCCAACGCTATCTATGTCGACGGGTATCGGCCCTTTGCTGACAGCTTAGCCGACGGCATAGCCAGTGATTCCTGTAGTGTGAATGCTCGTCTTGTGATGCTTGAGGGTTCGAATCATGGATGCACAAATATCATGAGGCTCACCTGTTCGCTCTAGGTGTCTAGCTTCACTAGTAGAAAACAGGGCTTTGGTCACAGGATAATATACACATTAGTCCCAGTTCGAGCGGCTAAAGGCATTAGTCCCGGTTTAAATGGGCCCTTTAGTCCCGGTTTGAGACACGAACCGGGACTAAAGGGCATCGCACCTTTAGTCTCGGTTCATCCCCCACCCCCACCCCCCCACCCCCCGTGTATCGCCATTTCAATTAAAAAAATAAAAGAAAATGATAAAAACTTCAAAAAATAAAATCCTTCAAGATGTAGTTATATTACTACATCTACTAGTTAGAAAAATTAAAAAACTTAAATTTGGACATGTTTTGCAAAAAAAAATCATGAAAAAGTAAAACGACTATAACTTTTGCATACGATGTCGGAAAAAAAACGTATAATATATCAAAATGTTCAACCCGAAAATCCGCATCCGATTGACCGCCTACGGCCTATTTGCAAATTTTTAGAATTCTCAAATTCTAAAAGGAACAAAAGTTATACTCAAATTTCAGTTTTTTTGAATTTTGGTTAAATCTTGTCAAACTATGGTCAAACTACTTATTCAAGAAGTATTAGTGTTACTAGATAATTATTCAAGAATATTAGTGTTACTAAATAATTATTTCAATTTTTTTGAATTTTGGTCAAATCTGGTCAAACTACTTACTCAAGAAATATTAGTGTTACGAAATAATTATTGATTTTTAGAATAATAGTTTCAAACTCAAGCAGTGAAACGTGTGACTTCATGCTCAAGCTAAACTCCTGAGGGTTAATAGGATTGACATTTTACTAGTGTCAGGAAAACAACAGGTGCAGACTTGGAAACGAGGGGGAATAGAACCCTGAAGTTAAGGATGCTCAGGTTGGAGTAGTGAGAGGATGGGTGACCGGCCGGGAAGTTTGATGATTTAGAATGATGAGGGATGATTAGAGATTAGAGGTTAAATTGAGCAGTGATGAGGGGTGATTAGAGATTAGAGGTTAAATTGAGCAGTGATGAGGGGTGATTAGATATTAAATTGTAAAATAATTTAGAAATTTAAAAATCAGGAAAAAAATAAAAAAATTCAAAAAAATCGTAAAATTTCCTTTAGTCCCGGAGGTGTAGGGCTTTAGTACCGACCCTTTAGGAACCGGGACAAATGGGCCTTACGAACCGGGACAAATGACCCTTTTTCTACTAGTGCTTACATGTCATGCTTTATTTTCTGCTGGTAGAGTTTGTAAGACACTGTGGTTTGAGTATGGCACTTTGGAGTCCAAGCTCCATGGAGGCCTTAATTTTGAAAAAAATATCCAAACTCAAACTTTCGCTTTCAATTTTTTTTGAAACAATACCCATGTTCACACGGATGTAATGTGTATATGTGTAAAGTTTTAGGATGAAATATTTTGACTTGCGAGCTGCAAAAAAAAAAATCATGGACTTTAGGATGAACAATACATATGCTAATAAGACACATATTTTTCCTTTTTTTGTAGTTCTCATTTTAACACATCTCGACCTGAAAATTCACACAAATGTACATTATATCTATGGTATATGTGTATTTTTCCATAATTTTTTGAAACTAAAAATTTTGAATTTAAAGTTTTCAAATTAAGGCCTCCATGGAGTTCGGTCTTCATTTGGCATTTTCGCTATGGTTTTTGTTATATAAGGCAGCTATCTTTAAATAATTGCAAAAAAAATTATAAAACCATGGAGCCTCAAAATTCGAAACTAGTAATTTCGGTCGGCAGTCGATGTGTACGCGCGTACAATTGTCTTGTTCAAAAATTATTTCATTAGTCAAAAAGATTCCCGCGACGTGAGAATTACACGAGGGTGACAACTGACAAGGTGCTCCAGCGTTCGTGGCACCGGCGGCGCTTGGATGTGGACGACGCCTTCGAGCACCTGCACGACCTGCGTCATGGTTGGGCGCTGCGCCTCCTCGTCCTGGATGCACCAGCATGCCACCCTGCACGCCCGCTCCAGCTCCTTCAGCATCACATCGCCGCGCAGCCGCGGGTCAGCCACGGCGCCCACCTCACCTTCCAAAACCTTTGCAGCGGCCCACACTGGGAAGAAGGTCAAGGAGGACTCACTCCCACCGGTCCTTGCCGCCTCCAACTCACTGTACCCTTTGGAGTTACGTCGTCCTGAGATGAGCTCAAAGAGCACCATGCCGAAGCTGTACACATCGGCCTTAGCGCTGATAGGCTGCCCAGAGATCCACTCCGGCGCCAGGTACCCGATGGTGCCCCGCATAGTCGTCAGCGCGCGGCTGAAGTCCCTCCCCACCAGCTTCGCCATCCCAAAGTCGGCGATCCTCGGCGACATGTCCTCGTCCAGCAGGATGTTCTCCGGCTTGACGTCGCAGTGTATGATGCATTCGCGGCAGCCGTGGTGCAGGTAGGCCAGCCCTCTGGCCACACCGAGCATGATGCAGTACCGGTCGCGCCAGCTCAGGCACGCGCCGTCACGGAAGAGGAGGCCGTCGAGGGAGCCTCTGGGCATGTACTCATAGACGAGCATCTTATCGTCGCCCGACGAGCAGAACCCGAGGAGCCGTACGAGGTTCACGTGCTGGATGAGCCCCAGCGTGCTCACCTCCGTCCGGAACTGCTTGTCGCCCTGCCGCCCAAGACTTTCAAGCTTCTTCACTGCCACCTGGACTCTGATTGAGTTGTCTCCCTTATGCCGCTTCAGGACACCGCGGTACACCGAGCCGAAGCTACCGCGGCCCAGCCGCTCCGAGAAGTCCTTCGTTGCGGCACGGAGGTCGCTGTAACTGTACACGGCCAAGGAGGATACATTCTCATTTGCGATACTGACTAGTCTCCTTCGGGCAAGAACAATCCTCCAGGCTAGTAGTATGATCGATGCCCCCACTGCTGCAACACCAGCCAATATGATGCCAAGGACAAACCATAACTTTCTCCCCATTTTCTCCCTGTCTACGCTATGGAGATCTTGCAATCCTCTTTCTGAAAGCCGAAGGTACAGGTCTGACCCGGGGCTGTCAGAGTCCAAGTAGAGCTGCTGAAGGTTGCGGAGCTCTCCGTACCAGACGGTGCACTCCCTGACAGAGAAGGCATAGGCTTGGCAAGAGCAGCTCTTTAGGCAAGCCGATTCGCACTCTACTTTGCTCTGGGCAGCGCCCACGGTGACCGAGTCATCGGGAAGTTTCACGTCTGGCAGCATCAGGAACCCGTCCGTCCTTGATCCATCGTGCGCGCACGTGAGCGGCGAGCTCCGGCGGCACCCACCGCTCCAATCGTTGAGCGTCCAGTCCCCCTCCGACGCCGGGGCAAATCCGGGCGGACAGTGGCAAGGTAGCTTGCCTCCCTGGTCGCAAACGCCGAATGCGCCGCAGAGCGCGTACACGTCGCACTGCAACATGGGACCGGTCCACAAGGGCTGCCAGCTCTGGCTCGTGGGCATCCAAATGTACATTTGTGCCTGGCCGGTGGGATCGAGCACGCTGCGTGTTATGGTTGCATTGTCGTAGAGCACGTTGATGACGCGCCGGTACGCCGGCGTCTCGACGTACGTCCCGTTGTAGATGGTGTTTTTCGTCGCCTCTGGCAGCTTCGCGAAGGCTTGGCCCATCCAGACGCCGGTCCGCCAGTACACGCGGGACCGGTTCCACATGTAGAAGACCTCGCTAGCGCCGTTCGGGTCGAGCGTCTCGCTGAAGATCCCCGGCGCGGGGTCCTGGGCGTTCCGCCACGATGTCAACGCCTGGTACTCGCCGGTGAGCTTGTTTTCCCCGATCCACGCTTCTGGCACCAGCGTGTCCGTCGGGTGGTCGAAGCTTTGCCACAGCACGTTGGAGGAGTTGCTGCCGTCGACAAGGACCAGGTTGCCGTTGTCGTGGATCTCCGCCGTGTTGTTTGAGCCCGGCGACAAGGAAGACGACAGGTTCGAAGACCACACGACGACCGGCGAGGTGGAGGCAGCGGTGGGACCGACGAGCTCGAGGTTGCCGTCGTCAGCGGAGACACGGAGCTCGGCGGAGGCGACAGCAGATAGTGGACTCGCGCGGTTGCCCACCCAGATGATGGTCTGGCCGGGGATGTTCTTGTACCAGATCCCGAGGTAGAACCTGTCGCCGGAGCTGCCAGCAGGGATGAAGAGGCCGAGCTCGAACTTGCCCTGTGCCGAGACCAGCGTGTCGTTGCCCCGCAGCGGACGCGGCGCCGAGAGTGTCGCCGCTGCACCCACTGCAGGTGCAGGGGCGAAGCACAAGGCAAGGGCCATGAAAGTGGCTGTGATCAGTGGCATGGTGATGGTGGCTGTGATCACCTGCCATAAATTATGAGTGGGGGTGCAGTCGAATTTAGAGGCAGGTGAACGACGGAGACGGGTGGCAAGAAAAACCATCTTCTCGCCAGCGTCACATGCGTGATGACCCCGGCGTATTTTACTGCTTATTAAATTCTACTGCTCGTGCATTCGCCTATGAAAAAAGGTAAGGGCTTTGAATTAGTCCGTGGCATGAGAGTCCACCATGGTGACGCACATACTCCACGTCAAACGCTCCTGTATAAAGTATAAACTGCAAAGTCCAAAAATATTTTAAAAGAACTCAAAAAAATCTGAATTTTTCAACAAACATGCAGATGTTGATGGTGAAATCACATTCATGAAGCTCTGGGAAAACGTTTAATAAAGTAAGCAGCAAGTTAATTCCCTTAAAAAAAGCACCAATTTATTTTTCTCTCGGATCATTAGGAGTGCTTTTTGTTCACAGAAATTGCATATATGTACAACATTGAATACTGTTTGCTGCCAGAAAAATTTCAGATTTTTTTGATTCATTTAGCTATTTGTTTTTATTTCTTCATAAGATGCATTTGAACTCGGGAGCAAAAACTTCATGTTCGGTTAGTTTAGTCATCCATGGAAGAAAAAGTTTGTAAGCAGGGGCAGGAGAAGGTTTCACGGAGACAAGACCAAGAAAGACGTCAGAAACAAGTTTTCTGTGGCAGAGGGTCTTTCTTATATTCCAAAAGTACTTTTGGGGAGAACTTGAGACCATTTTCAAGATCATATGGGTAGTGGGTAGTTGTTTCAAAAGTCCATATGAAAGACCGAGTCATTGAAATCCACTGTCAACCTCATTTTTAGTCATTGTACTCCCTCCGTCCGAAAATACTTGTCGGAGGAATGGATATATGTAGACGTATTTTAATTCTAGATACATCTATTTTTATGCATTTCTCCGACAAGTATTTCTGGACGGAGGGAGTATTTGATAAAATATAAATTACGTTCAATAAGATACAGCTTTGGTCTGCTTAGGCTCACTTGTCATTCAGCTAACTAGCACAATTGTCCTTGTCCACGCGTACTGTAGGCATTGATCATACTTTCGAAAATGGGACAGTACTGGTCTTTGCATCATCTAGATATATAGAACTATAGAAGGTCTATTAGTAAGGAGTATTTATTTTTCATTTTAGGAATTAACTGAATTTACACCGGTGATAACCAAATGTACTCCACAGGAACTGAGTTTACACTGAATTCAGTTAACCAAATGTTAACTGAATTTTAGGAGTAGAAGAATAATGTGCTAACTGATTTTACACTAAGGGAAGCAATTCGGTGCTAGAGAAACAAAAAAAAATCATTTACACTTAACTGAAGTTACAGTATACTGGATTTTCAGTAAAGTCAAATATACTGTCGTGTATGAGTTGCATATACTGTTGTAATCAGTAAAGTCAAATATACTGATGTATATTCAGTAAAGTCAATTGACAATGACAACGTTTAGGATCTATGGCAATTGACAATGGAACAGTATTTTCATGTGTGTTTAGGATCTATGTTATCACACTTGCAATCATGCTCAATCATGTTTTATGTGGCGATGCTCAATCATGTGACCATGTTTACGATCTATGTGGCCATGTTTTCATGTACTACTATAATTCTGCCTGATGGAGAAAGGAGCTATCATAAGTTTTCAGTATTCATTTCTGGTTTGGCTGCCATGGCAGCCGTTTTCGCTGCTGTGGCAGCGTTTCTGGTTTGAGAAAAGCATGGTCACTACTTGAAGTGTTGTAACAGCCGGCATTTCTAGTGCAGATTAAACTTGTATTTTTGACCAAACGAACTACTCCTTGTAAGGATCATTGCTGAATCATCCTTGTAAGGATCATTGCTGGATCATTTCCTTGTAAGGTTTGATCACTTCCTGAACAGCAAGTACTGCTTGTGCAACTACTAGGAGTATTTTAAAATGACCATTTTAACTGAACAATTTTTATTCAGTACTGGCTTGACGAATCCAATCTAACTATAGAAACAAAACAAGGTGCCTTGTGCAGAAACAGATTCCCGTGAAGCCAATAATCTCTGAATTTGTCTTGACTAAATATTCCCCTAGAAAACTAGATTCTCTTTCAAGATCTATCCTGAAGACCATTTGACTTGGATGTACACTAAACTGAGAGCATTTCAGGTGCAATATGATGAAGAACCTGCCACTAATTGGTTGTACACTGAACAAGCTCTACTCCTGTCGCAAGTTGACAACCTATACTGCACACTTGTCTTCAGTTCAATGTGCTCAAGCTCAGTTCTTCGTGAGACTGAGAACAGCACGGTAGTCCTTAATCTACAGGCATACTGTTAATTACACTATCTGAATTTAAGTGTTGCTTTATAAATTCAGTTAAGTGTTGTTGTATAAATTCAATTAAGTGTTATAAATTGAGGACCATATTGTCAATTCAGTAAAGTGTTGTGTAAAATCAGTTTAGTGTTTTTTCTGAATTTAATCTCGGTTCAATATAGAGCACCTTCTAGTCCATATTGTCATCAGGGATATAAATTCAGTTAAGTGTTGTTGTATACTGTTGACATGAAGTTTCCGTGTTAACAGGGAATGCTTCCCTTAGTCCATTCACACTAAGGGAATAAATCAGGGATATAAATTGTCATTTACACTTAACTAAGGTTTGCCTTAGGGATATAAATTCAGTTAGCCCATATTATCAGGCGAAGAGGAGCACCTTCTGGTTACATGATTCGATGCTTGCCTCTCGATCTTTACTACTCTTGGTGTGGAGTTGAGCAGATGCAGTCGGGGGCGGCTTTGTGGTCGACGGCGGCCAACCGACAAGGAGGTGGTCGATGACGGGCAGGGCCAGCTCCGGCTCGCCGCCGTCTGACGGCAGATCGAAAAAAAAAATCCAACCTTCTCACTGTGTTCGCCATGGGGAACGAGGGGGAAGCAACGCAGCGGCGGGTGGGAGGGGTGGAGCAAGGCGGCCTGCGGCGTGGGTAGGGGAGGGAGGAGCAAGGCCCAGCGGCTTCAGAGCACGGTGACGAAGAGGAGAAAGAAGTGGAGCGCAGGTTGTGTCGTGGATTATACAAGGGCTAAATTACAAAATTACCACCGCAACAAGCTTTTCCAGGTGGAGGGAGTAATTGATAACCAAGAGGCCAATGCCCCATCCCCATGTACCGTCCAGTAGAATGCCCACTGGCATCCAATTGTTCATCTTACAGCAGACAAGCGTTTCCAGAAAACTAACAGAGGGCCCAATGCCCCAATCTAATATGTTTCCAAGCCTCTATTACTACAATCTAGTATGTTCATGCCCACAGCCAAACCATGGAGTGACTGACAGCCTTCCACACCATTCAGAATGTCTACTGGTGAAAATCAATATCAAGGAATGGCAGTCTGCAGTTTAACAGCAACTTTATGTGCATTGCTTAAACTTGTCGTCGCCCTCGTAATCCGAACCCTCGTTGTCATCTGAGGACTCCTCGGCTCGGTTAGGTACTCCGCGATTGGGTTCTTCCTCGCCACCACCGTTTGGTTTAGCCCGCTTTTCTTTCTTACGCTGCTTCTTCTTTTGGCGTTTCAGGCGCTTCTTGGCTGTACGCTCCTCGGCTGCTTTTAGTCTTTCCTCCCTCCGCAGATTGAACTCAGCCACCTGTTTCCTCTTTTCGTAATCACGCTCCATCCTCGTTATTCGGTCCTGCTCCCTTCTCCTCATTTGCCGATACTGTCAAAACAAGAGTGCTTACAGTTAAAACACCAGATTATTAACTACCAATGTATTTCCATTCTAGTTCTCGAAAATATTGATGTCATGAAACTTGAGAAATCTGGACCTAGATTTGTTCCTAAAAAGATCAATAAATAAGATGGTTGAGAACACATCAAGAAAAGAATTGCTCTAGCTCTGTGAATGCTGGAACAGGAGGAATCAAATACATATATCATGATTTTCAGCTGCTATGATGTTACACGAAACAAGGATGTGAGATAAGAATTCTGGTGAACAAACATGACGGACAAAATATGTCTGAGTTTATTATTATCACGAGTCTCAAAGAGAGCAGAATTTAAATGAACTTGTGTACAGTCCCAGCAAGACAATCTCCACTGCTATAATGACAACCTTTGTCCCACCCAGTCACTCAGAGTGATTGTATGCATGTCTGAACCCACACACAAGTCAATAGCAGTTTTAAAGTTAAACTAGGATTGTGCCTACAAGTCAACAGCAACACTTCATTTTAATAACTCAAATGAAGAGTTGTGAGTAGCAAAACACTAAATCTTCTCCTGGTAGGCTGGTAGCAATTCTGGCCTCCGTTCCAGCACTCATAAGCCACTGAAACTTCCCATTATCATGTGATAATGCCTATGGTCGCAGCTAAGCCACAAATACAAAGATCTTGTATCTGATCCCTTCTCTTCTATCACATCATAACTTAATAGACCTTCACCTTTTATCAAACTGTGGTCATTCGTCAGCCTTAAAACCTCCTATTGATTAAGTGATGCAGCAAAACATATTCTTTTTATTTTTCGTATTCAGTGATCTTACCTTAAAATCCACACCAACTTGTATTCTAGATATTCAAGAATTGAGCAAATTTTAAACATATTGTTGTTTTGGTATAGTCAACTGCATAACAGCATACACAAAATTTAGTCAAGTGCTTTCGATACAGTACTCTTAAGAATATCAACAGGTAAAGGGTCTTGTATACATGCATTTTTGCATGCAAGGACCATGTTTTTTCTTATATAGACACCAAAGAGCTACTCCCTCCGTTCCTAAATATAAACTTTTTTAGAGATTCCACTACAGACTACATACGGAGCAAAATGAGCGAATCTACACTCTAAAATGCGTCTATATACATCCGTATGTAGTCCGTATTGAAATTTCTAAAAGGTCTTATATTTAGAAACGGAGGGAGTATTCAGAATCAATCACTCATGTGCAAATGAACCATAGACTCGA